AGTGAGTGACCATGGGAAGCCAGGCGAAAGCTCTGGCCGGCCGCGGCGGCGCTCGCTGCATCAACATCAGCGCAACAACAAATCGTGCTGCCTTAATAATGCAGCGATCAAGAAGCTGGGAATAACACGGGTGGGCCCTTAAAAAAAAAAAAACAAACAAAAGAAAGTCATTCCATTCCAAGAAATCATTTTTTTTTTGTGTGTGTGGGAAGACTGCAGCTGTTGGTCCGCCACAATTTTATCCCGGCGGTGTTCATTTATGTTCACAATCTCCACCGTCCGTTGCCGCAATCCTTGGGCGGTCGGCATCGCGGGCGTTCTGCGGACATGCGTGCGTGGATGTCGGCGAGTTCCCCCCCCCCCGCCATATTCGACCCTCTCGGCTCGTCGCCGTATCGGCGGTGTTCATTTATGTTCACAATCTCCACCGTCCGTTGCCGCAATCCTTGGGCGGTCGGCATCGCGGGCGTTCTGCGGACATGCGTGCGTGGATGTCGGCGATCGGCGCGTGTTCTTCCGCTCGACCGCAATTTGTGTTTCCGTTTCCCAGAAATCGTGACGGTTATTCGCCAGCTTATCGATCCAATCGTGGGCCATCTTCATGTTCTGTCTAAGTTGTCGCCAATTAACTGAGCATGGATCCGACAGTCAGCATGAACTCTTCCGCTAGACTGTGGCTTGCGTTTCTGTTCGGGAGCCGCTGACAATATTTGCCGGCTTCGCTTTTTGTCCAATCGTGGTCGTGAAGATGCCGACGTGATCGCCTTCGCTCGAGTTAGCAGACGTCTCGAGGAGACGTAACCCCTTGTCGAACCCCGACAATCGCGGGATGAACAAACTCAACATGTCACCAAGCATTGCTGAAGATTAAACGCCAAATTGAATGTTCCGCTTCGATATATATAAAAAAAAAAAAAAAAAAAACAACTACGGAGAATATGCAAGCTTATTTATCTCCCCTTTTCTATCTCAAACCGCTAAGCCTATTTCCTGCGTATTAGCATATTGATGTGTGCGTGTTTTCATGCCTCACTTTCCACGGAAGAAATATTTGGAAACGGAAAACAGCAAAGCTCGACATCTCGGGTCCAAATCTAGTCCCGGTGATTATTTTTAAAAGCCCGTCGACACATTGCCGTTATTTAGCCGATAAATAGACCGCGGCGCCGACAACGGGGAGGAACGTGCACGATAATGCGCCCGTAGAGCGGCGCGAAAGGCGCGTTCAACTGAGCTCTGCTTTACCGGGCCAAAGTCGCCCCCGTGGCTCTGTAATAATGCGGCATCGACCAGCTTAGAAATGAAACAAATAAATTCTGTTATTGATGAGAGAATTATCAGCCGCCGCGCCCCTAATTATTCTTTGGGCTCCAATCAATGAATGCCGCGTCTCATTTAGCCTAGCGGCGTGGCGAGGCCTCAGCGGGGAGATTCCATCACGCTTGACGTAGCATCTGGAAAGCTGAAGTTGTAACGGTAGAAAGAGCAGATCGCGCGCAAGAGCCAATGACCTGCTCGCCAGCAACGGAGGCCACGACGAAGAAATATATTGTTTTTGTTTGCATTCAATCACAGGTGTGTGTGTGTGTGTGTGTGTGTGTGTGTCTGACCTGACCAATGTGGACGTTGTGGGAACGGAGCAGCTGCCCCCACACCTGGGCCACATGGAGGCGGAGCAAGGCTGCGCCTGGATGGAGAGATGACAGAATAAGTGAGTGATCATTGGAAGCCAGGCGAAAGCTCTGGCCGGCCGCGGCGGCGCTCGCTGCATCAACATCAGCGCAACAACAAATCGTGCTGCCTTAATAATGCAGCGATCAAGAAGCTGGGAATAACACGGGTGGGCCCTTAAAAAAAAAAAAACAAACAAAAGAAAGTCATTCCATTCCAAGAAATCATTTTTTTTTTGTGTGTGTGGGAAGACTGCAGCTGTTGGTCCGCCACAATTTTATCCTGCGTTTTGGCAAAAGATCTAAAGTGGTACGGATGGGTCGTTAGCGGCCCGGGGATGG